ATGAGTGCGTGCATGTGCCTCGTGTGTGTGTGTGTGTGTGTGTGTGTGTGTGTGTGTGTGTGTGTTTAGACGATCAACGATGAAGTTGCCCAGCAGGCGCTGCTTGAGCTGCAGGAGGCGAAGGAAAGCCCTTTCAAGACAGAGCATCTCATCGAGTTTGCAAAGAGGGTGAGTTGGCAAGTCGTGCGCAACCACGTTTGTGCGTGTGTGTGTGTGTGTGTGTGTGTGTGTGTGTGTGTGTGTGTGTGTGTGTGCGCGCGCGTGCGTGCGTGTGTGTGTGTGTGTGTGTGTGTGTGTGTGTGTGTGTGTGTGTGTGTGTGTGTGTGTGTGTGCGTGTGTGTGTGTGTGTGTGCGTGCGTGCGTGTGGGTGTGCGCGCTTGTGTGTGCTTGCTTGTGCTTGTGTGTTGACCATGCGTGCGTGTGCACATACATGACGTATTTCATGCTGGTCCGCGTTTCCGACCATCTGCCACTGCCACTCACTGCTGCGATATGCGCTTGTGTGGATGTGTGTGGCTGCAGCTGCGCGAGCGAGGTGAGGGTGACCTCTCCATGACCGTTCAGGACATTTACAGGGAGCTTTTGCGGCCCCTCAGGTCAGTCAATCAGAGATGGTGTGCTCTTGTAGGCGTGTGTGCTTGTGAGAGTGTTGTGTGTGTGTGTGCGTGTGTGTGCTTGCCTGCCTGGTTGCCTGCCTGTCTACTTATCCATGTGTGCGAGAGAAAACATCGCTCCCGCCCCTCATCAAGCTGCTATCTTTATTGCAGGGATGACCGTCACGAATTCCTTCCCATGCGCGCATTCGAGCCCATGCCGGGCCAGCGGCCAGAGTACGTATCACACACACACACACACACACACACACACACACACACACACACATACACACAGTGTGTCCTCCTTGCTTTGTTTCGTCTCGTGTCATGTTGCCTTGCCACCACCTCACCCCATGTTCTCCTGTCTCTGTAACTGCCTGCATCCTGTGCTTGCAGTGACCGTCCTGTGACCGAGAACGACATCAAGCTCTTCTTCTGCCTTACGCAGCAGGCGATTCCCTTCAAGGGCGCCGTGGAGGTCCACGAGCACAACAGGTCAGTGCCCCATGCACATGTTTGCGCTGGCCTTTGCTTCGTTTTCACCTGCACCTGCGCGTCGCATGTGCTGACACTCGTTTCTTGCGCTGTTGTGCTCACGCCACGTCTGCTTCTCCTTGCCAATATCTCACAACAACAACAACAACAACAACAACAACAACAACAACAACAACAACAACAACAACAACAACAACAACAACAACAACAACAACAACAACCAATGCGTGCGCCACACCAACTGCCCGTGACCAGGCCTGCGGAGCTGTACTTCCACGAGTGGCTCCCTGTCGATTACAGCGTGGTGGAGGGCCAGCTTGTGGATGCCGAAGTTGTGCGCTTCGATCTCGGGCGCATGGACGAGACGCGCGTGCACCGCGTCATGTTGCGCTGCAGCAACGACCTGCCTGGTTTCCTCATGGCGTCGGATGTCAGCGATGACTTTATTGCCGACCCGCGGGAGGTGATGCAAGTCGGGCAGATGGTGACGGCGCGTGTGCTGCAGATTGACGTGCACTTTATGCGCCTCAAGCTCACCACCAAAGGGTCTGAGCTGCGCGGCGAGACGGAGTGGTACTGCCCTGCCAACTGGGGCTACGACAGCATGTATGATGAGCAGGCCGAGCGGGAGTTCAAGGCCGCACTCAAGCCGCAGGAGCAGAAACGATCCAAGTACGCCAAGCGCATGGTGACGCACCCTCGCTTCTTCAACGTCTCGTATGCAAAGGCGCTTGCCATCTTGTCCGACTACTCTGAGGGCGATGGGCTCTTCCGCCCAAGCAGTCGCGGCACAAACCAGCTCACTCTCACGTGGAAGGTGAGAATTCTGTGTGGCTATCTACTTGTTTGCTTGCTTGTTTGTTTGCTTGCTTGCTTGCTTGCTTGTTTGTTTGCTTGCTTGCTTGTTTGTTTGTTTGTTTGCTTGCTTGTTTGTGAGCTTGCGAGCCCCCCCCCCCCGAACACGCACGCACGCATACACATGTGCCATCCTCACCACCCGCTGTTGTTGTTGTTCCTCCCCCTCCCTTCAACATCCACCACCAGGCCCTGCCGGACATGCTGGTGCACGTTGCTGTTGATGAGGATCCCAAGTACAAGGCGACCGCAGAGTCGCTCAGCTCGCGCCTCACCATCCGCATCGGCAACGCCATCAAGGAGTTTGAGGACTTGGACGAAATCATCTTCAGCTACCTCAACCCAACGTACGACAACGTGCGCCGCATCACAGGGAACCGCAAGTACTTTGCGGACAAACCAGTTGAGGAAGTTGAAAAAATGCTTGTTGAGCGGAAACAGAAGGAGCCCAAACGCATTCCGTACATGTTCAGCCCTCGCAAGGTTTGTCGCCCACGAGTTGTATTGCTGTGAGTGGCTGTCTGCATGTGTGTGTGCGTGCGTGTGTGTAAGTATGTGTGCGGCTGTGTGTGCGTGCGGGTGTGCACCAAACAGTGCGACTTGCATGGTTGAGCTGACTTCCCACCCAACGTCCTCCGTGGACACTGCTTGTTTTGATACACGTGCATAGGATCACCACGGCTGCTGCTTCTGGCTGTCGTTTCTTCCAGGATCGACATCTGTGCGCCGCTGGGTGCGTTGTGCTGTTTGGACGTCTTACTTTGTGTGCGTCTGTGTCTGTGTCTATGTCTGTGTCTGTGTCTATGTCTGTGTCTGTGTGTGCACGCGATCGTCACGCGTTGTGGTGAACATGGTCTTTTGTCAATCCTTAACGCGCTGATGTTGGTGAATAACGTGCGACTCACCGCCCTGGTTTTGCCTTCATGTCTCCTCCTATCTATTGCAGCATCTGTACGTCTTGCCCGATGGCTACTTGATGGACAACCACACCTTCCCCTCCCTGAATGACCTCGTGTCCTGGTTCAAGCGCAACTTCCAGGTTTGTGCGTTGTGATTGTGCTTTCACAGTAGCTCTTATCGCAGACGCACAATACTCGTGCATACCACACGGGTACATCAGATCTTACACCTACATGGCACCCACTCACTCGCACGCACACACACAACACACGTACACACGTGCACGACGGCATTATGTGGGTGTTCGTGGTGACAGCGGCTGAGCCAGATGTCAAAGCAGCGGGACGCTCTCGAGCAGCGGCAGAAGGAGAAAAATCCGCACGAGCACCAGCTCAAGCAGTTGCCGCCCCAGGCACAGGCCGCAGCCTCCCGTGCCGCACACGCAGCGAAGACGGTGTGTGTGTGTGTGTGTGTGTGTGTGTGTGTGTGTGTGTGTGTGTGTGTGTGTGTGTGTGCGTGTGTGTGTGTGTGTGCGTGTGCGTGCGTGTGTGTGCTTTGCTCTGTGTCTCCACTTGGTGGCTTTGTTGTCTCTCTCTTTCATACACTCACACTCACACACACGCACACACCCTCTCTTTTCCTCCTTCCCCTTCTCCGCTTCCACTCTCCACCTCCCATGGCTCTGATTGTTGCCTTAATTTCCTACACAACACAACAGCGCACCAAGAAGCCTTCGGCCATCCGCACGCTCTCACGGTCGCACGGTAGCCACGACCATCCCTACCACCACCGCCCGGCAGACTTCCCACCGGCTGGTCCCCCTCACCTCACCCCGTCCCGTGCCGGCCGCAGTGGCGACTACGATGCTGCGCGCCCTGGTGCTGGCTCCTATGGTGGGCCACCACTCCCCCCGCAGCCGTCGCTCGCCACAGCGTGGGGTGCAGACTCGAGTGCAGCCACTTCCTCTGCACCGGCGGCTGCACCGCCGCGCGACGAGCCGCCGACCGGCCGTGCTGATGCATGGAGCACGCCGACTCCGAGAACACCGCAGCCGCCTCCGTCACAGCACCCGGCGCCCGCGTGGGGCACACCAGCGCCGCCCCAGGCCACCGACTCGCAGCAGCCGAGCGCCAGTGCTGCATGGGGCACGCCAGTCGCCTCCTCCTCCAGCGCACAGCAAAACCAACAGCAGGAGACACCACGGGTGCAGGAGCAGCAGCGTCATGGATCAACTTCCTCTGCTTGGGGTGCACCACCGCCCACAACAGATGAACAGCAGCAGCAGGCAGCGCCACGGTCACCGCCCAAGACGCCAACAACGCCTGCCGCTTCCTGGGGCCAGCCTGCACCGCAGTCGTCCTCCCAGCAGCAATCGCAGTCCGGTTGGGGAAACACCAACAACAACAGCAGCAGCAGCAACAGCAGCAACACCAACAACAACAACAACAACAGCAGCAGCAGCAGCACGGCCGGTGCCCCTGCAGCACCACCAGCCCCGTCATCGGCTGGAAACGCGTGGGGGAGTACAGCGGCGTCAGCAAACAAAGCCAACACCAATGACAGCATGGACGTGCGTGGTGACGATACACAACAACAACGGCAACAGCAGCAGCAGCAGCAGCAGCAGCAGCAGCAGCAACAGGCGGGTGGCTGGGGGTGGGGCCAGTCCAGCACGCAACAGACGCAGGCGGAATCACAAGTGCCGGAGACACAGCCTGACGCTTAATGACGAACATGCTTTGTGCTGTTGTTGTTCGCTCGTGTCGCTGACATGTGATGTTTGCTGATGCGTCCAGTTCCTTGTTGCGTGATTACGACATGTGCGTGCGTTGTGTGTGTGTGTGTGTGTGCGTACATGGGTGCATGTGTGCGTACACGTGTGCATGCGTGTGTGTGTGTGTGTGCTGCTACAATACAGAACAGAACAATGCAGAGCAAGGAGTGCTCTGGACTGTATGATGAGTTGATTGTGCGTTTTTCTTCGACTTGGCAGAATGCACTGCCACACCATCATGAGAGGGCAGAGCAATCGCAAACACGACACACGAGGACACCGAAACCACGACTAACATGCACCCATTGCTCATATCTTGTGTCAGGGCACCTGGTCACCACTCCTTCACCCATTCACGCACCAGCACCAACACTGCATCTCACCATTTGTAACCAAGCGCCAAAGACACAGATAAAAGCAAGACAACAACAACGGAGCGCACGCGAGGACGTGCATGTCGAGAAATATTGTCTCCGATGAGACGTCGATGCGTGCACGTGTGAGCGATGGTTGGTTATGCAGATGGTGCAGCACGGCGGGCGGCAATCTCCTGCTCTACTCGCGTCCACAAGGCCTTGCCAAGGTCGGTGTCTGTTGCGTCTGCACGCTGCGGCTTCTCCTTGTGCATGTGGAAGTAGCGGCCTGTTGTCTCGCCAAACTCCTTGGCGCCAGCGAGCACAATCACCTGTAACGTGACGATATAGGATAATGTGGAGAAGTGGGATAGCAGTGATGCGTCAACAGAAGGGAGGGGGGACAGCGTGTGGATGAGAACATGAGGCGGGGGCAAGAAAGAGGGTGGAGCGCAGCCCGATACAGCGAAGCAGTGGTGGAGGACAGTGGGCAGCTGACACGCCCAAGGGAAAGACGATACAAAAGTTGAAATCGTAGCTGACACACACACACACGCACACATGTGCACACACACACATAGAGAGCCGCGCACACAAAGACAAACAAACACACACACACACACACACACACACACACACACACACACACACACACACACACACACACACACACTACACTACACACACACACACGACACACACACGCACACACACACACACACACACACACACACACACACACACACACACCTGCACGGCGTCAGCCTTCATGAAGAGGCCATCCATGGCCTGCCAGAAGATGCTGTCTTGCTGCACGACCGTCCAGTCTGTTGTCGATCGCACATACATCTCCATCTTTACTGCAATCGCGGTGACAATCACCGCCACGACAAGGCCTCGCACCCATCGCTTATCACGGACGTGGGCCGGGGAAGGTGACCGCTGCACCATCGCTGTCGCTACCGCTGTCTGTGATGATGATCTCCCTGCTCTTGTGTGTCTTGGTGGGTTGTTTTGGCTGGTTGCTCGCGTGTATCAAGTGAGGAGTGAGGCCGTTGTGACGAAAGTTTGCTTTCGCTTCACTTCTTCTTTCTTGCTTCTTTGCTTGCTGTTTGCTGTTTCCTTGCTTGGTTGATTGGCTTTGATGAGCAAACACACACACACACACACACACACACACACACACACACCTCTTCTCCTTGTTCGTTCTCGCTTTCATCGCATCATCAGTTAATAGTAATACACACGCATGCACGCCTTCCAACACCAATACCACCACCTCCTTCTCCTCCACTTCACCACTCCACACCACAAACTCACGCGTGTACAAAGATGCCTAAACGAGTATATCACACACACACACACACATCACAGCAGCAACAAAAACGGCGCTGTCACCCTCCTTGAACCACCACGACGATCGCCGCTAGATGACGCTTGTCTGCACGAGCGGATGGCGTGGCTTGGGCTTGTCGCTGCCGTGGTGTGCAGCTTCGGCACCAGCCTTTGCAGCCACAGCTGTGATGGGTACGTCAGCCAGGGTTACGCAGCCAGTGCCATTGGGAACGTGCTGGGAACCCGAACTAACACGCATCGGCGGCGGGTGAAGCGGCTGGTCATGAGGCAAAGGCTGTTGCTGCTGCTGGTGCTGGTGGTGCTGGTGGTGGTGCTGGATGTGTTGTCCTTGCTGTGGTTGCTTATGCACCTGCTGGGACTGCGCCTGTGACTGCTGTGGTTGAAGTTTCTGGTAGTGAGGCTGGCCCAGTCCGGCAGCGTGCGACGTTGCTGGAGCAGCACCCACTGGAAAACTGTTCTCTGCAAAGTACATGGGGGCTTGTGCATGCTGCTGCTGCTGCTGCTGCTGCTGCTGCTGCTGCTGCTGCTGCTGCTGCTGCTGCTGCTGTTGTTGTTGTTGTTGTTGTTGTTGTTGTTGTTGTTGTTGTTGTTGTTGTTGTTGTTGTTGTTGTTGTTGTTGTTGTTGTTGTTGTTGTTGTTGTTGTTGTTGTTGTTGTTGTTGTTGCAAGAGGGCGTTGTGAATCGCCAGCACCTCTGCGTTGATCCTCGGGCTGGGCGACTCGCTCTGACTGCTGTCCGTGGGCGTGGCTGTCATGCTGTTCATGTTCACGTCGTGCACGCGTTGGCTGTTCATCTGCTGCTGCTGACGCCGCCACGAGGCATCCCACAGCGCCGCTTCCAGCTCAGCGTGCTTCCCTGCCACAGTCGTCGTCGGCTGCTGCTGCAGCAGTTGGTTCCCTGTGCTTGGTGGCACCGCAGAGGGTTGTGTCAGATGTTGGAACTGGGCTAGCAGATTGGCTGCTGTCAGCTGCTGTTGCTGCGGCTGCTGCTGGTTGTTGTTGCTGTTGTTGTTCTGCGCGGGCTGCGCATACATGTCTTGCACATGCTGCACCGTGGCAAACTGGTTGACATCCGCAAGCGACTGTAAGCCATGCACGCCGGTTGACCCGCCAAAGCTTGGCGTGCGTCGGGTGCCATTGACGCCATACACCCCGTTGCCAATCGCGTCCATCTCATCGGTGAGGGCCGAGCGAGGCCCACGCGTCCCCACGATATCAAGCACAAGCGCCAACTGCTGGGTGAGCTGGGCAAAGGTTGGGCGGGCGTCTCTCGGCAACCAGCAAGACTGCATCACCATGTACAGCTCATCCGGGCACGTAAACGGCCGCTCGAGCACCAGCCCTTGCTGCACCGCAATCACCACCATGTTGTTGGGCATTCCGCTGTATGGCAGCGTCGACGCACTGCACATGTGTACGTGTGTGGTTTGTTGAGTGGGTGAGTAGTGAGTATGTGTTGTGCATGAGTGGGTGAGTGGGTGAGTGGGTGAATGAGTGAGGTGGGTGGTGGCCAATTCAAAGACAAAAGATATCTTCAACTGGCAGCAGTGAACCAGAGCAGGTGAAGACGTACTTGGTGGCGATTTCGTACATGGTGATACCAAAGCTCCACACATCGCTGGCAGAGGAGAACTGACCAGCACAGAACAAAGAGACAACAACACCCAGCACAACGAAGCAGCGAGTAAGCTCATGTGTACAGGGCTCAGGCTGCGGGCTTCCCAGGCGTTTCCGTCAGACACGCAACCTCAAACACATGCGAACAACGCATGCGAACAACACATACGAACAATTGCACAAACACACAAGTCCACACACAAGTCCGCACACACACACGCACGCACATAAGCACGTCCACACACACACACACACACACACTCACACACACATAAGCCCATCCACACACACACACGCACACACACACCTGTCCGCTGAGGGCCTCTGGAGCCGTCCAGCGAATGGCCATCTTGGACATGGGGCTTGCCTCGTACTGGGGCGTGTTCTTCGCCAGCCCAAAGTCGGCAACCTTGCACCGCCGGTCGCCCGTGACGAGGATGTTGCGGCAAGCAAGGTCCCTGTGCAGCGCCCCAGCCTCCGTCAGCGTCTTCATGCCGTGCGCAATGTCCAGGCAAAACTGCACCTTCTCCTGCCAGCTAATCTCGCGGCCCTGCTCAAGCTGGTCCTGCAAAAACGTGCTCAGGGACCCCAGCTCGCAGTACTCCGTGACCAGGCAGTACGGGCGGCCACGCGTGATGACGCCGACAAGCTGCACAATGTGCGGCTGCCCCGCAAACTGGGCCAGCACCGCCGCCTCCTGAAGAAACGCCTCCTCGTCACGCGGGGTGAGGTCGTCCTTGAGCACTTTGATCGCCACCTTGAAGGCATCCGGCACGTCCTCGTCGCGCGGCAGCTCCGGCCGGAACCGCGGCATGCTCTCGTACTGGCCTGTCAGCACGGGCTCACGCTCGTACCCGTGGCGGTGGCGGTTGTGGTGGTGGTGGTGGCCCTGCCCCTGGCCCACTGACCGCTCGCTCGCGCTGATGTATGTGCCAGAGTGCTGGCTCTCTGCGTAGTGGTAGCTGGAGCCACCACCCAGGTCGTGGGCGGCAGTAAGGGGGCCGGCCTTGCCACTGGCGCTGGCCTTCGTTGGCAACACGTCGTGTGCCGCTACGGACCCGTTGCTGCTGCTGCCGCCGTCCTGCAGGTCGCGGTGTCTCTGACCACTGCGGTGTGTGTTGGCTGTGCTGATGACGCTGCGTGCACCGGCACCGCCGCCGTTGCTGCTGGACACCTTGGCCAGGGCGAAGCTGCCGTCATCGTCATCAGCAGCACCATCATGGCCGTTGCCCGGGCGGCCGCGGTGCTTGCTGTTGTTGCTGCTGCCAGTGTGGCTGTGTGCGCCGTTGCTGTTGCCAGCGTGTTTGCGGATTTCGCGGTCTGCCCGCGAGTAGCGCAGCGCCTTCTCCAGCACAATGCCCTTGTACACGGTGCTGAAGTTGCCCGTGCCAATCTGCTGCTGCATAATCACGTGCCGGCGGGGCAGCTCATAGGGGGTGTCGGTTGCTGGCATCTCCAAGTGGCGCAGCAAGGGCTCAAAGTCGACGGGCTTGCTCTGCAGACTGCGCGAGTTGCGGTACACCAGGGCCATCATGCCCACCGCAAGGCCAACGACAGCTACCGCGCCAATCACAACGCCAACCACGCTCTCCGAGGCAAGGCCGGAGCTCTTGCCGCTGCCAATCGGGTCCACGGTCGACTCAACAAAGCTGCACATGGACGACACGGAAAAGTTGTACGCGCGCAGCGTGGGAAAGTCGATGATAATCTGGTTTGCGACAACAGAGCCGGCCTGCACGAGTGAGTCGCCATCAAAGATGCTGATGAGCAGCTGCTGCGGTGCGTCGAAGTTTTCGTCAAACCACAGCGACTGCTGCACAACAGAGGGCAGGGCCGTGTCCCTGCTGATGCTGCTCAGGCCAGCATACAGCGCGTCCCGCGTGCGCCGTACGTCGTGGCCAACACCAAACCGGTGCAGCTGGCGGTTGGCGGCCTCAAGCACCGTGTGCAGGGCGTCCACGACTTGGATGCTGAAGATGGCCGAGAGCGCAATGTCCTCGTAGGGCGCCACCTGCGGAGACGACATCACCTGCTGCCGCAGCGGCGACGGGTTTGGACTCCCGCGCGTCACGCCAATGATGCGGTTTGCAAACGCGGCGCGCAGGGTTGGCGAGAGCTGCTCAAACAGCGAGCCCGTGACGTGTGCAGTGTACCACACGCGGCGGGCGTCAATCGCTCCCAGGGCCTGAACAGCAGACAAGACCTGCACACCAGAAGTTGACAGCCTGCATGATCATGTGTGTGTGTGTTGGGGGCCCGGGGGGGGGGGGAATCGGGTACCAAGGACATGGGGGGGCGAGAGAGACGAAAGGTAAGTGCGATGGCTTTGTGAGTCAAGCACACAGAACGTGGCACAGGCAATGTATCTAAAGTAGAAGTTCTCGTGCGTACACTACATACACACACATGCACACGCATATGTACGCACGAACACCTCACACACACGCGCGCGCACACACGCGCGTACACACACGCACACACACACCACGCCACCCGCATGCAAGGCAGCCACGAATACGTACGCGGAGAGGAAGACGTGCGGCACGGGGTTCTCCACAAGTTGGCTGACGACCGCTTCCACAGATGTCTCATTCTGCGGGTCGTATGACAACGGGGTGACGATGATGTCGAGCTGGCGCGCATACTGCACCACGGCCTCGCCAATCTCCTGGGCAACCACGGCCTGCGTCTCGTACACCACATGCATGCAGCGCACGCCAAGCTGCCGCAGGACGGTGGCCGAGTCGCGGCCAGACTGCTCTGAGGAGAGCCCAATGCGGAAGAAGTACGGGTGCGCCGTCGTGTCGGAAAACTCGCGTGCAGACACGGCCGGCGAGACAATTGGCAATTTGTGCGTTGTTGCGGCCTGACTTGCGCCCACGCCACAGGTGGAGAGGACAGGGCCGATGACAGCGTGGCGGCCAATGCGCCCGAGCTCGTCAATGCCCTCGTAGCAGCCGCTGGCATGCAGGTCGCGCACGTCCATGTCCACGTGGACAAAGGGGTACTCCTGGGCGAAGATGTCCAGGCCAACGTCAAGAAACGCCTCAGAGGCCGACGACGCCGACGCAAGCGAGCTGCTCGTCCTGCAAGGGCGAGTGGATGCAGGGTGTGTGTGTGTGTGTGTGTGTGTGTGTGTGTGTGTGTGTGTGTGTGTGTGTGTGTGTGTGTGTGTGTGTGTGTGTGTGTGTGTGAGTTTACGGATGTGAGAGAGAGTGTGTGTGTGCGAGTATGTAGGTGTGTGTGTGTGTGAGCGCATGCTTGCAGATGATGGATGGGGTACCTCGGTGAAACCACCAAGCATTTTCGCTGGCATGGCGTACATGCGAGTGCATACAGTTACCTGCTGTAGGCCCATGCAGACTTGATGTTGATTGGTGTGACGGCCTGAGGAAAGTGGAGCGGGTCTGACTCCAGCAGCAGCCGCGGATCCGGCGACGCACCGCCGTCCACCGCAATGTACTCAATCTACACAACCAGCAACGTGCGCAGCAGCGTGAGTTGGTTGAAACGACAGCCGGAGCGAGGGGGAGGATGAAGGGATAAAATGCGACACTTTGTCAGCGCACACATGTTCAGGAAGGCTGGTGCACACACGTACGCACACACACACACACACACAAACACAAACACACACACAAACACAAACACACACACAAACAAACACAAACACAAACACACACACGCATACATCGCAACACACACCACAACACACACCACAACACACATCACAACACACATCACAACACCACAGGACACCACACCATACGAGCCCTACGTTGTTGGCAGCAAATGTGGCGCGGAGGTAGCCACGCAGGCGCGCCTGCTCGGACTGGGCAAAGATGCACAGCTCCACGGGGTGGTCTGCTGGGTTGTGGGCGATAAAGTCCTCTGCAGTGGCGCCAGCCGCGTCCTCCACGCGAGTGCCGTTGCAGATTGCGTCGTTCACGCGCACGTGGAGGTCGAGTATTGCATCAAGGATGCCGAGGGCGCGTGGGGACTGCGCAACCAAACGGGTTGTTGGCAGGTCGAGGTTGAGAGCAAGGAGGCGGTCCATGACACCGAGGTTGTGCTGCACCTCCACATTGTACTCCAGCCGGGCCGTTTCAACAAGCAGCGTCATCTCTGCCACCCGCGCCTGAACACGCACACAAGAGGCAATTCAGGACGCATTCAAGCAACGTTTGAGCGTGGTTGAGGGTGGCGGAGTGAGGGGTTGAGTGTGCTTGTCGTAGAGTGCGGCTTTGGGGGGTTCGGGATTGATGTTGCGAAGTGCGACTCTGTGTTGCTGGCAGCAACAACCAAAAACAACACACAGCACACAACAACACAACACCACAGCACACATAGCACACATAGAACACAACAAATACACACGCACACGCACACACACGCACCGCGATTGTGGCATTTGTGTTGCGGAGGGACGTCATGACATCACTGAAGCTGATGCGGGAGATGGTCGACGAGAACAAGAGCGCATTTCTGCACACCAGTTGCATGCAACGTTTTGTGGTTGGCGCAGTAGCATGAGTACATGATAACAACAGCACACATGAAGATGCATGAAGTCGTGTTGTTGTTTGTGTTGTTGTTTGGTGTATGTGTGTGTGTATGTGTATGTGTATGTGTATGTGTATGTGTATGTGTTTTGTGTATGTGTGTGTGTGTGTGCGTGCGTGGAAGCACAATATCCCCGTGCATACCCAAAGGAAAGGCGGTCGAGGCGGTGCAGCTGCAGGATGGTGGAGACAACATCATCAACGCCATCGGCAGCGATAAGAAACACGTGGTGGTGGTCGCCAACGGCATCCGTACACTGCTCCTCTGCAAACGGGCTCTCCTCACGCGAGATCCAAAGGCCCTGTATGTGTGTGTGTGTGTGTGTGTGTGTGTGTGTGTGTGTGTGTGTGTGTGTGTGTGTGTGTGCGCGCGTGTGCGTGTGTGTGTGTGTGTGTGTGTGTGTGTGTGCGTGTGTGCGTGCGTGTGTGTGTGACAATGCGCAGACTCGATGCGAAACGGGAACCGACAGCAATACAAACAACACAAACAGCAAGCTCTAGCAGCAGCAGCAAGCACCAGCAGCAGTGGGGGTACTACTGGTTCGTGCGCTCACCTGCGTGAAAGCGTCCCGGAAGTGGGATGCAACCTCTGACACAACGCACGTTGGGGTAACGAGTGTGATGGCACTCCAATACCACTTGGAGGCAAGGTCTCTGAACGTGGCCACGACGTCTTCCGCCGGATGAAAGGATTGAAGAACTGATGGTGATGCGAGAAACAGAATGCCTGGTGAGTGTCCTGTGCGACAAAATGGCGAGGATGCACCTGCAAATGTTTGCTCACAGCTACACACATGCACACACGCACACATGCACACACTACGCGTACACACATGCACACACATACAGACACACATACACACACGCATACACACATGCACACACATACAGATACACATACACACATGCACGCACATGCAGATACACATACACACGTGCACGCACACATACACACATACACACATACACACATACAAACAATCACCACCTGCAGTATCGGCGGTGCTGGAAGGGCGAACGGCGTTGCTGACTTCGTCGATAAGCAGCTCGATGCGCTTGTCGAAAGAGGGGTGCCTGGCATCCAGGTGTGACAGGGCTTGCTCCTCCACCGTTATCGTCTCCAAGCTGAGCATTGCGCTGCGGTTGCCGCACGCTGACTCTCCATTCAGGTACTGCACCAAGGCATCTACTGCTTTCAGCTCATACTGCATGAAGCGCACAACACAGTGTCATTCAGGTTTTGAGTACATCAAGGTTTGTGACACGCGAGCATGTGGCAGGGCAAGCGGACGCAGCACTCGAAACAGTTTGACATGTTTTTAAAGATACGCAACAGAGAGCGATGACACACATAATGTACATGCTTATGATACACACACATACAAGCTTAATGATACAAACTTAATGATACACACATACACACGCACACACACGCACACACACGCACACACACTCACACATTCACATGCATACACACACACATTCACATGCACACACACACACACCTGTAGGAGTTCTGCTGGTGTGGTGAGGTTGACAGCGACATGCTGCGCTGCTGTTGCTGATCCGGCCAATTGCGTACATACGGCCACCGCGGTGATGATGAAGACAGCAGCGACACTTGGTATTGCCGAAGCCATGGCCTTGTCACGCAGAAGCCAATGGCGGAGGACGAGGCTGTTTGGGAAATGAGCATCGACGAGCAAGCAAGCAAGTTGGCCGGCGTTGTGATGTGGTGATGATGTGACAGAGCAACTCGGCAACAAGAAGAACAAGGAGGGCCTGGCAAGCGCGTCGCAATGATTTCCAGGGAAGACGGGGATGAGGACGATGCACACCAGATTGGGGGGGGGGGGGCAAAGGAAGAGGGCTTTCAGCAAAGCAGGCAAGACAGCAAGCGATGGTGGTGGCGGTGCTGGATGTTGTGGTGTGAAGTTATTGTTCGCAACTCTCTTTGTGGTTTGTCTGTCTGTTGCGCCGACTTTGCTTCCAAGAATTCGCAAGGCTTGCGCGTTTGAAGGCAGAAGAGGTGAATGATCACTTAAACAGCCATCACATCACACAGAAAGGGGAGGGGTCCACGATGACAACAATTAAGATTTGATGTTCATTTATTTTTCAAACGCAGTTGCTTGGCCCCATTTCCTGGAATCGGGCAAGTGTGATGACCTCATCGTCAGATGCTGACGCAAGCAAAATGCGAGCGGTGGCGTTGTGTCCCGCAGGTTCTTGGGCGCACCACAGCACCGCATTTACGTCCTGCGTGTGCGTTTGGTCGTCATAGACTTTCTCAAACGAGGGCGCGCTTGCCGACTCGACCTATGCTCGCGTCGGGGTCGCGTGGAGTGCAGGAATGCGCGTGAATGTGCATGAACGACATTTGAACGTGTGTGCGAGAAGATGCGTGAGCGTGTACGTGCGTGTACGTGCATAAAGGCTCGGCCAGAAAGGGAAGGGAGATGCTGGCAAGTCCGCACGAGTACGACCACACACACACACACACATACACACACACACACACATACACACGCGCACACATACACACACACATACAAACACACGTACACACATACACGCACGCGCACACATACACACACACACACAAACACACATACACACATACACGCACCTGTGTTTGGCGAAAGACGCGCACGTGGTTGTCGCCACAACCTGTTGCCAGCAGATTCGTGACATGGCACCAGTCCACCGAGTACACGCTTCGTGTGTGAAAGCCTGTGCGGGCATGCGAGTCGTAGGATCACGTCAGAATGACCACGGAAAAATAGGAAAAGAAAAAAAATGGTTCAAAGTGTCTCGTACACAACGTGTGTGGAGAGACGAACAGGCCCTGCCATGTCCTTAAGCTTTAACGTCACAGGGAGGCAAGCACGGCCGCGCACCCGACAACGTCGTGACGCACGTCCACGTCCCGTCAGTGCCAGAAAACGCTGAGAAACCAGTGATGCGAGCAGGGTACAAAGTGATCGCGTGGGTTGAGCACTAGCAAAAAGCAAACAGGAAAGCAAGGCGACACACACACACACACACACACACACACACACACACACACACACACACACACACACACACACACACACACACACACACACACACACACACACACACACACGCGCGCGCGCGCCGCGGTGGCGTGCCCGCGTGGAAGCAGAACACTGTTTCTCCTTCTGCTCTCACATGAGAATAAGCAGGACACAACCAAACAAACGGCTGCTCGCGACCTCCACTGGGCTCACCACTGGGCTGCTCTGGAGGGGTGAACTTCCAGATGCGGACAGTCTTGTCGTCGCTTGCAGACGCAAGGAGAGACCCGCTTGCATTAAAGGCAAGCGACCACACCGTGCTCTCGTGGCCCGTCAGATGCGCAACGCGCGTCCTGCAAGGGAGATGGGAAGGGACATTTGCATTTGTTTTGTGTGTGTTGGGGGGATGGCTGGGGTGTTGAGTGAATGGATGACAGCAGCTGCAGATTCGCCAAACCACACACACACACACATGCACATACACACACATACACATACACATACACACACATACACATACACATACACATACACACATACACACACGCACACACCAGTCTGAGATGTCTGGATCCGGGCGGTACAAGCAAATTGTGTTGTCGTAGCTGCCGCTCGCAAGCAACTGAGATCACAAAGCACACACGTCACGGGGAAGAGATGAACACATGGCGCGCGCGGTGTGCGTGTATGTGTGCATGTCCATGCGTAACGAAGGATAGCAAGTCGAATACGAAAGCAGAAGACATGCATAATGCACACACACACACGCACACACACACACACACACACACACACACACACACACACACACACACACACACACACACACACACACACACACACACACAAAAGGAAACACATTCCCCGGGAAACTCACGTCAAGGGAAGGGTGCCAACGGAGGCATTTGACATCTTGTGTGTGGTCGTTGAGGATGGAGCAGCAGTCATACTCGTCCGTGTCTTCAAGATCTGTCATTATCACAACGACAGCAACAATAGCAGCAAACAGCAAAAGCAGAGAAGCGTGAGCATATCGCACAAGCAAGAGCAGACTGTGTGCTGTCGTGTGCTTGCGGCATGCATGCCAGCACAGACACACACACAGACACACACAGACACACCCAGTCACACGCAGACACACACAGACACACACACGCTCGCGCGTGAGCATGACGTGGATGGGCAAGCATGCCTGCGATTGCTGTACTTACGTTCCCAAATCCACACGGTCTTGTCTCTGGAACAGGAAGCAAGGTACTCGCCAGATGCGGAGAAGCACGCGTCCTTCACCTCATTCTCGTGCCCTTCGAGCGTCGCGTAGCACTCCCATTCAGTCACTGCAGCCGTGGATGTGTGTGTGTATGTGTGTGTATGTGTGTGTGTGTGTGCGTCGCTTCTGTTGTGAATTGTCACATGCGCACAGACACAAACTTACACCACCAACTAGTACGCAGATACAAGAAGACACGAAACGGCAGAGCCAACAAAGCAGGCACTAACACACACACACACACACGCACTAACACACACACACACGCACGCACACACACACACACACACACACACACACACACACACACACACACACACACACACACACACACACGTGTACCTGTGTCGGCGGTGCGCTCCCACACGCAAACGGTTCCATCAAAACTGGCAGTGACGAGCTGCCTTCCAGTCGGCGAAAACCTCACTGCAACACGCAGATGGTGGTGGAGGTCGTCAGTGGCGCCAATGGAAGCAAGCAACGATGCGGAAAGCAATGACAGTTTGATGGCATGCCGTGTTGAAGCAAACAAGCGTCAACACAAAATTGGGACATCAAACAAGAAGACCGCTCCCGTGACCTTGTGTTACAGTGCTCCTAAATGATCACACATACACACATACACACACTGCGTACCGGAGCGAATAGTTCCGCGCTGAGGTCCTTGAAGTTGGGTGACGCATGTCCCAGTGCCATTGACGTCTCGCCAGA